GACAAACATGTTTGGGATGTTTATACCAGTATTAGATCTATCATCTATTTTTATGTTGACTAGTGGGTCTTTTTGATAGACTATTTTCTGAATTTTTGGGTATTTGAATAATGATACTAGACTAATCATTAACAATATAAATGTTATTTTAAGTGCCGTCTCTGCTCGTCGTTTTGCTTCCGTTGTGTTCTTTAGAGATATCATTTTTCTGGGTTTTGTTGAAATGATAATTTGATTGTTGTTATAAGGGAATACGTAATTTGTTGTTAAAGTTTCATCCAGAGTTTCTATGAAGTTTAGTTCAAGGAAATAACGAACCCAGAAAGAAGCGGGAGAGTTTTTATACAGTTTCATTTGTTCATTTATGCACCGATTGATATATATATAGCACCCAATTTTAGTGTGTCGGTCACTCAATGAATTTTTAATATACATGTATTAGCAATATTTAATATCACGTTAAATCCAAAGTTGGATACATAATTAATTATTAAAGATTAGGATGCCACTATACTTTTTAGTTACACACTGTGAGTCAAAATAGATTTTTTTCTTTTGTTTGAAAATGCGTGTGTTGATTAAAACAACAAAGTCCTATGTTTGATACGTAGCTACTGTTACCGAAGTGTAACAAATTTCGTTGATCTAGTGATTTCCGTAGGAGCCCGTTCGTCCCGATCCCAACAAGTCATTTCGATTATCCGAGCCCCTTAATGTAATGTCCCATCCTTCCTATTTTAAATCGATTCCTGTTTTCCTCTTCCCAAAAAAAGTAATTCGTTTACGAAATTCGTTTTTTATCTACACGTTTTTCACTTTTGATTGTTTCCCCGTTTTTCGCTTTTGATTGTTCCCTGTTTTTCGCTTTCACATTTGATTGTCAGCTCATTTTTCGTTACTCGTTTTACCTTTTTTATTTATCACCTGTTGTTCATTATTGACTGATCTTTAGATCACCGTCTTCACGTTTTTCGCTTTCGACTTCGCCATCAATTTTTCACTTTTATTCACGAATTCGTTTTCTGTTTCTCATTATTTGACTTCGCTTTCACTCCCACGCTTGATTATAATCACGATTTCGCTTTTGATTGATTTTACTTTATTTCCTTTTTCTTA